ACCGAATCTCCTCTGAAAGCTATACCACCGACGAGTAGTGTGCGGGTAGTAGTGTGTTTCATCTGACCAAATGTGACTATTATGGCTGCAAAGAAATTAGCTGTTTCACTTTAAATAAGATTTAATATTGAAGTTACAAAACCCCAAAAGTTCAAATAATTTAAATTTCATTTCATAACCATTTCAATTTCGTTACAGAAATAATGTCATAAAAAACCAACACTCACTAGATAAATTATAAAGAGAGGATAAATTGTATGCAGTATTTAAATATTGACTGCAATTAGAAGAGAGACTTGTATATTCCATAAAAAAACAATGGGACGGAGACAAATAAACAACTCGGTACGTCGTGTTTCCGACCTAGGGTAACCTGTGGTTCAGTAACCTTTTAACCCAGTTTTAATTTGCACACGTGCACCATATAGTCCAGGAGCCCGATGTGCAAACAACTTATTCTTAAATATTTGACCTCTTGAATCCAAAGAAACTTGGTCGCAAAGCCTGAAAGTGGTCAGTTTAATTGTTATCAACAAATTAAATGTTTAAATGGCTGTAAAAAGTTTATTTTTATAGCTAGTACAATTTATTCGCTAATAGTTACGTTTTCTCATAACAAATATGTATTTTTTTGGAAATTAAAAAAAATTAACTTTAACCAAAGTTATTGCAAATTTAGTGCAAATTTCTTACATTTTCCGTCTCCGTGCGCACTAATTTTACCATATCTGGTTCTAAGTTCCATTTATTTATTAATTTATTTAATAATTAATGGCATCTTAGAAAGTTGTGAAATTTCAACGAAAATGCCGGTTTTAATTGTTTATAAGGTTTTTTTTATTATTCAACTTCGACGAAAAGCCAAAAAAGTTACCGGATATTGTTCTTTGCATTCTAACAATCAAGCAAGGCATGAAATCATTGTTAGGATGCGAGGAACAATAACCGGTAACTTTTTTGGCTTTTCATAAAAATTGAATAACAAAAAAAGTTTTATAAACCAATAAAGCCAACATTTTCGTTGAAATTCCACAACTTTCTAAGCTGCCATTAATTTTTAAATAAATTAATTAATCAATGGAACTTACCTATCTTGTAAAATAAAGTTTAAGTTTTAAAATGAGATGTGCGTCTCAATCCGTCCAATTGAACCAGAGATATGGTAAAATTGGTGCGCGCAGAGACGGAAAATGTAATATATTTGCACTAAATTTGCAATAACTTTGGTTAAAGTTAATCTTTTTTTAATTTTCAAAAAAATATATGTTTGTTGTGAGAAAACGTAATAATTAACAGATAAAAAATTGTACTAGCTATAAAAATAAACTTTTTACAGCCATTTAAACATTCAATTTGTTAACAACAATTAAACTGACCACTTTCAGGCTTTGCCACCAAGTTTTTTGGTTTCAAGAAGTCAAAATACTTAGGAATAAGTTGTTTGCAGCCGTGGCATTCTGTTTGGCTACGGAAACCTATCTGGCCGTTAGACATACAAGTGTAGTAGCAAAAAGTTGTCGGTCTTTTATCAAAGGAAAATCGTGTCAACAAATTGAATTTAAAGTCTAAAATACCGGCTGTGTTCTCATAGTAGCTGTAGTCGCCCAGGTGCATCGAATGTACGAAGTGGTCGGTTATACGTCAAATACTAACCTGGCCAGCTTGGACGTAAAACAGAGAGCGCCTCCAAAAAACAAGTAAACAGTGGCGCAACAGGTAAAATGTAGTACATTATATGGAAATTAAAAAACAAATTGGATTTATAATAAATTACATTTAAAATAAATAGTTTATGAGAATAAAGGAATTTTTGTAGGAACAAGGGTGCCAGACGTGAACTGTTCCATTTGTCCCTTCATAATGTATAAAGAAATTATTCAATTTCTAAAACCCGTAAAAGCATAAATGTAAAAAGCGAATTGCACTGAATCCCTTGACAGGCAATGATTTACTACTTTGTATAGAATATGATCCTACTTAGAACTCGGACAAGACGTAAATAAACATCTTTGTCTGGACACATGATAAATAGATATTTTACCTTAAATATTGTGATAACAATTGTTATTTATTTATGCTAAAACAACAAATGAATAGGGATGATTGTTTCCATTGTACATTATTACATTTTATCATTTTTATTATTAATAACATTAACGTTTTCACGTTTTATAATTTATTATGTTAAATAATACACAGTTTTAGTATTTCAATTTATTATTCAATATGCAGTTGCGTATAACCAAAGTTTACATAATAAATGTAAACTTTAGTGTAAATCTAAACTTTGGTGTAACCTAGGTAGGCACTTATTGTTTTTGAGAAAGCAACACTTATGTTTTTACCTGTTTAAAATGCCAGCACGAGTAAAATAGCATTCATCCGTCCAGGGCACTTTGTTAATAAAGTTCTGCTGCCCTTCGATTTAGGAACCAATTGCAAAATTCAAGACGATTGGAGAAATAAGATGCTTCTAAAGCTTGAACTTTTTGAAAATGTGTTATGTTAACTCCTTTGCGGGAAAAATGCGGGAGATATGGAGGGTGGTAGATTTGAATAAAAGCTTTAAATTGTTAGGTAATTGGTTTTGTAACCGTGTGTAGTGTATTTTGTATATTCGGGTATTTAGTGTGTCGATTCTTTTTATTTGATAAAATTCAAACCTCTGTTTTATTTATTTTCTTTTAACGAAAGTTGACTTTGAGAAGTAAGGCTTGTTCTAACCTTTAGGGGGGGTCAATAGTAGTGTAAATTCAGAATCGCGACTGAATTCCACCCCTGCATCAGCCGCCATCTTGAATTTAAGGAAAAATCGTTTTTGCTCAATATCTCGGCCATTTTCAACTTTACAACAAAAATGGTAAGGACTTAAGTTGTTGCGATGCGATTTCCTACAACTTCTTTTATTACAAATTTTATCGTGCAATCGATATTTTTCAAGTTAAGGGGGAAAATAGTGAAAGTATAATTACAGAATTATTTCGTTTGTTATTGACTTTACGACAAATGTACATAAACAATGTTGGAAAGAATTATATTTTCTACAATTTTGATCCCTTTGATTTTTTCGCAATACCAATATTTAAGGTCCTACGCTTGCGGTAAAGACGCGAGCGTAGGACCTTGCGGGAGTTGATTTCAAAGGAATTGTTTTTGCTCAATATCTCGGCCATTTTCAACTTTACAACAAAAATGGTAAGGACTTAAGTTGTTGCAAATGCAATTTTCTACAACTTCTTTGTCTACAAATTTTATCGTGCGATCGATATTTTTCAAGTTAAGGGGGAAAATAGTGACAAAGTATAATTATTGAATTATCTCGTTTGTTATTGACTTTACGACATAAATATACATAAACAAATTTGGAAAGGATTATATTTTCAACAATTTTGATCTCTTTGATTTTTTCACTACTACCAACATTTAAGGTCCTATACTTGCGGTAAAGGCGCAGAGCAATATAAAAATCGTTTTTGCAAACTCTTTTCCACACCACCACCGGGGTAGAGTTTCAGGCAATTCTTTTTTTTACGTGGTATCCCCAATAAGCCTAATCCTTGTGTCATTGCTTGCAAGATAGTTGCGACTTCTGCTATCTTCCTCTTTATAAAAGTTTCTTGCAAGCGTTAAAGGTGTAAGCCATGTTTTTTTAAACTTTATTTTTTCTTATAAAGTTTGGACGTCCAGAAGCTCTTGTCTTGAGATGTCGTCGCTACTAATTCATTTTTTTCTTTGACGATGGTCCTGGCAAATGAACATCGTTGGTTACCTCTTCGCAGTCGTCGTCCTCATTACATTCAGTTGATTCAGCAGGATTTGTGATGATATCATCATCGTCCTCCTCATCATCATCGAGTAATTCTCGAAGCTCGACAACATTTTCGCAGGTCTCGCCCCTGCAGCTCTGGCATATAATAGTACATTTCAGTGCGGGTTCTGCAGTGGTAGTGATGGGCTCTAACCCACGGGGAGTTTTTTTCAAACTGAACCTTTCTGTATGCGACAAGATTATTCTTGTTCATGGCCAGCTGCCGGTGACGTCAGGCCTATGGAATGTTGATCCCTTGAGTTTAGTTAGGCTTGCCATAGGCGTAGGACCTTAAATGTTGGTAGTAGCGAAAAAATCAAAGATCAAAATTGTAGAAAATATAATTCTTTCCAACTTTGTTTATGTACATTTATGTCGTAAAGTCGATAACAAACGAGATAATTCTGTAATTATACTTTCACTATTTTCCCCCTTAACTTGAAAAATATCGATCGCACGATAAAATATGTAATAAAAGAAGTTGTAGGAAATCGCATTTCCAACAACTTAAGTCCTTACCATTTTTGTTGTAAAGTTGAAAATGGCCGAGATATTGAGCATAAACGATTTTTCCTTAAATTCAAGATGGCGGCTGATGCAGTGGTGGAATTCAGTCGCGATTCTGAATTTACACTACTATTGACTCCCCCCCCTAAAGGTTAGAACAATAAAATTGTGGTCCCTAATTTTTTCTTGGTTAAGCCCTTTTTTTGTCTATCCCGACTGGACATGTGTACTTGGCAACGCTGTTCGCCTCAGTTGACGATTTGTTCGTGACATTACGTTACAAAATTTTCCTAGCATCCGGGCATCTGGCAGGGCCGCCCTCTTAGAGGGAGTTATGGGTTGATTTCCTTCATTTTTAAGTCGAGTAAAAAAAAAAATTTCCGATTTTCTGTCTTTATTAAGCCTTCCGAATACGTGGTTAAAATTAATGACATTATGACTGAGTCATCCTGTATACTGGCCAAAAAAGTAGGAAGATGTTTAAATAATTTTTTTATTTTGTTTTGTAATTACGAATAACTTATGTAATTTTTTGTAAAATTAAAATAAAGCAGCTTTAGTACTCAAAACTATTTCACAACATTAAAATTTATCTATGGTAATGTGACTGACTATTTTGGCAAAAAATGTATCAAATTATAATTTTGTTTATTAAAAGTACATAATTTAATAAAAAAAATTTTAGGTCGCCGTCCACCTGAACCTCCAGGACGACCCAGATCAGATAGTAGATCACCTAAGAGGCGTAGTAGATCTCGTTCAAAATATAGTAGATCTAGGTCATCTAGCATTTCAAGATCAAGATCTCGTAGTTACCGTAGTAGGTCTCGATCATACTACAGTCGTTCTAGATCAAGATCTGGCAGTTATTATTCCAGAAGTAGATCAAGATCAAGAAGTTATTCAGGTGATAGAAGGAGATATCGAAGAGGCGGTTTCAGAGGTCGGTATAATGATCGTGGTACATATTACAAACCTCGTTTTCAAAATCCAAGACATAGTCAAAGAGGAAGAGGGGGTGGGTATTATAACAGAGATTCTAGATATAATGACAGAGATTATCGTGGTCGCGGAAGACCTTATCCATACAATAATCGAGGCAATCGTAGACCAAGGGGAAGATATCAACGAGGAGGTTATCGCGATTATAGAGATAGAAGATATGATAGAAGCCGTTCAAGAGATCGAAGCAGATCATACAGTGGAAGTCGTGACCGTGACTCCGATGACACTACTATGAAAAGAGGCTCTGTAGAAACTGATAAAGTTAACAAGTACAATGATGGAGAAAATCAGTCTATAAGACACGAAGGTCCATTATCTGAAGGTGAGGACAGAGACGACTATACTAATGAAAAACTAATAGATAGAGATGAATTTGCTGGTAAGTGGGCAGAAAAAGATGATTGTGGTGAGAGTTCCAAAGAAATTTCTGCAACAGTAAATATGGAAGACACGGATAAATTCACGAATAAAGTCAAAAAAGAAAAGAAAGAAGATGGATTAGAAAGAAGTAAAGATTTATTAAAAAAATAATACTGGTGAGTAAATTCCTTATTAAACTGAATAAAATTTAGAATCATTACTGAATTGGTCAAATTAAAACTTATTAGTTACTGTGAGATTGTTTGATGTTCTGAAATGTAATTACATATATAAATGTAGTTAGTGACATAAAATTAATATAAATGATTATATATTATTTATCTTTGTAAACTTTGTCCTCTTTATTATGTATCTATTTTCTCCCAGTTTTTATAAGTTTGCTGTTTAATGTAATAAATACTGTATTAATACCTCCTCAATTTATTATTACAAGTAGTGATAGTCTACAGACATCTAAAATTATTTAAATATTTCAATCTGTCACAAATGGATTGTAGGCAATGTCGGTTTATTGTTATAAGGAATTTGACATTAGTGACATTAAAAAAAAAACAAATTCTTTTCCGATGTAGGCGTAATTCTGTATAAGAGTTTAGTCTTGCTATTTCATATAAAAATTAGATTTATTATAATTTGTATTCTATTATATAACCTTAGTGGATTGTATTATTATGAGGGTATGCATTATTTACAAAATCAGAATATATAGTGTGACCCACTAAGAACCAGTGGATACTTCAAAAAAAATTTTGAAACATGATTTGAATGATTTTTTTTATATATTCATTATATGTGTAATGGCCTTCTAGATGTTTTTGCTGAACTAGTTATGATGATCCAGTTGACAATCCGTAGCCTGCTGTGATATTTTCTTATTCAAAATCTAACATCATTTTGTAAAGCAGAATTTGTGATGGGATGAAAAGCATTACTAATGCTGGTGATTATAATTAGCAAATAATAGTTTCATCATCATTTGAAAATTAACCCAAAATTTTGAAAATATCAGGTCCTTAACATAAGAAAAGTCCCATTATTTTAGTCCAAAGAACGTGTTGACCTACTAATGTGTAACATATGTATATATATATATATATATATATATATATATATATATATATATATATATATAAACCAAATTTCTTTTTAGACAGGGATTAGACAAGGATAAAAAAGTTACACTCTTTTAAATTTTCAAGCTTTGGAAACTATTATTTAGTTTCTTTATCAGAAAAAAACCACAAGAGGATATAAATTAAAATTTTTCTTATAATTAGTCATTAAAAAATTGCTTACTATTCGAGAATTGCATATGAAGTTAGCAAACATAGGTCCACCTACCGCTAATTTCATGTTTACCTATCATGTTTGCTAACTTCATATGCAATTCTCGAATAGTAAGCAATTTTTTAAAGACTAATTATAAGATAAATTTTAACTTACATCCTCTTGTAGTTTTTTCCTCATGAAGAAACAAAATATAGTTTCCAAAGCCTGAAAATTTAAAAGAGCTTAACTTTTTTATCCTTGGCTGCATCTCCGTCCAAGAAAGAAATTTGGTTTTCAACTTAGACAGCCATCTAATTTTTTTGGTGTATATATATATATAACGTCCAGAAGCTCTTGTCTTGAG